AAAAGAGCATCAAAACAAAGAATCAAACAAAAAACAATCAGAAGAGCATAAAAGAAAGAATCCAAAAATATGAAGATAGTGCAAGGAGCCTCTGGGACAACTTTAAGCACACCAACCTAAAGGAGAAGAGATAGCAAGAGATTGAAAACCTATTTAAAGAAATAATGTCAGAAAACTTCCTCTACCTGGTGAACAAAATAAACTTACAAGTCCAAGAAGCACAGACAGTCCCAAACAAGAGGAACCCAAAGAAGCCTACACTAACACCCATCATAATTGAAATGTCAGGGTTTAAAGACAAAGAGAGAATCTTAAAAGCAGCAAGAGAAAAGCAATTAGTTACCTACAAGGGAGCATCCATACAACTATCAGCTGATTTCTTAAGAAACTTTGCAGGCAGAAAGGAGTGACAAGAAATATTCAAAGTGATAAATAGCAAAGACCCACAACCAGCAAAGTTAGCATTTAGAATTGAAGGTCAGAAATAGAGTTTCAGAAAAAACTAAAGGAGTTCATTACCACCAAACTAGTATTACATGAAATGTTGAAGGTATTCTTTAAGAAGAGGAAGGAGGAGGAGGAAAAAGGGGGTGGGGGAAGAGGAAGGAGGAGGAGGAGGTGGAGAAAGAGGAGGAAGAGGAGGAGGAGAAAATGTGAACAATAAAATGGCAATAAATTCATATCTATCAACAGTTGAATTTAAAAAACAAAATAAACAAACAAGAAATCTAATGAACAAAATAAACTGATGAATAAAACAGAACCAGAGGCCTGGAAACATGGAACAGAATAATGAACCTCGGAGTGAAGGGGGAATGGGGGTACTGGAAGAGATCAACCAAAGAACTTATATGCATATACTGTATGCTTTACCTATGGACACAGACAATAAGATGGTGAAAGCCTGGGGTGGGGCAGGAACTGGGTGGAGGAAGGCAATGGGGATAAAAAGGAGGGACATCTGTAATACTCTCAACCATAAAGATAAAAAAGAAATAAAGTAAAAAAAATCAATGGAAAAAAGATCCTTAGGTGAGGGTTAACCTAAATAAATAAATAAATAAATAAATAAATAAATAAATAAAGTCAAAGGAATAGGGAAGTATACTCTGTCCTTATATATTATTTCCTTATGGCATGGATGTAAGGAAGAGTAAAAAATTGAGGCCAAAGACTAAATATCACAGGGCATATAGATATTGTAGTATTTACAACTTACAAATATGACATACACGTATACACATAATTTGTTATGTACAAAATATTTAATAATAAAAATTAAACCTACACAGTATAAGTACACTTTGAGACCCTGCTTATTTACTAGTCTCATAATCTTAACCCAAAAGGAAATGAAGTTAGTTCAGTAGGAGTTATTCTTTCATGATTATCTCTACTTTTTTCCATTCATTTAACCTCTTCCAAACAGAGTTTTAAAAAGTTTACAAAGCATCAAAAAAATTTTACAATAAGTCAGAGAACAAAGCAAAGGGGAAATAAAGTTTATCAGAGCAAGATGGGAGCTCAGATGACAATTGCATTTGGCTGGATATTGCCCGTTTGTTCTTCTTGATTCTCTCCCCATCCTTCTCCTGCTCTCCGCTCTTTTGAGGGCTCTCTCTGCTCCTTCGAGGGCTCTCGTCTCCAGCTTCTCCTATAGCTACAGGTCTTGCTGGGTTCCGATGATTACTCATCTGCTAAGTCCTCTTTCTGCTTAAGGCCTAGAGGCTGGTCACACTTCCTGGGAACCATCCCTTGTTAGCATCCTTAATCCTTCCATAGGTTTGTAACTTAACTCCTTCATGAAGTTCTCTTTAGGTAACCCTTTTAAAGAGGCCATGTTTCCTGTCAGGGACCCTGACTGCAATAGCCCACAAATCCTATGCCTTAAGTCTAAAGACCATAAATACAGCTCCAAGGTCTCAGTGTGATTATCCAGCGGGAAACACAATCAATGAGAGACTCTAATCCTTCAAGAGAAGCAGATCTACTGTTCTCTATGCCCATTCTCCTATCTCCAGGGTAAGATGGCCCAGCCTTTGGCAGCAGTCTCTGCCCTGATTATCCTCAGTCTGGATGCTCCACAGGACGGCTGAAGGACAGAGCCATCACACGTGCTGTGACTGGGATGCTGCCGTGGTGGAACCTGGCACCTGGTAGATGCCAGTAAAATCCTAGGCGATGCCTGGCTCATCTTCCTTGGCTTTCCTTCCATCACACCTTATTTTTTAATCCTTACCTGAAGATATTTTTCCATTGATTTTTAGGGAGAGTGGGAGAGAGAGAGGGAAAAACAGAAACATTGATGTTAGAGAAACACATCGATTGGCTGCCTCCTGCATGAGCCCCGACCAGGGCCTAGGCCAAGGAGGAGCCTGCAACCAAGGTACGTGCCCTTGACCAGAATCAAACCCAGGACCCTTTGGCAAGCCAATGCTCTATCAACTGAGCCAAACTGCCTAGGGCTCCATAACTTTTTAAACAAATCTACACAAGTTGTGTTTTCTATGATACCTGTCTGTAACTTCCTGGAGTTGGGCGTAACCCTACCCCCTTTACCTGGTAAACTTTTCTTTTTGTACCAACAGATCTGGCCCCAAGACACTGAAAGGAGATTTCTAGAATAAATGTATAAACTGAAAAAAAACAAAGGAAGGGAAAGAGAGAGCAAAGCAGACCTACCCTTGATACCAAGATGGGCAAGAAATTTTCTCTGTGATTGCTCAGAGAGGTGATCATAGTATAATGACCATTCTTTTCGTCTTACAAACTACCTCTAATTATTCAGGGCTCAGTCCTAAAATATATTCTCTGCTATCCACACTCACACTCTGGTTTATCTCATCTAGTTATCTTGCAGCTTTAAATAACATATATATCCATATATATGCTGATGACTCCCAATATGTATCTCCTGTCCTGACTTTTTCTTGAATTTTAGTTTTTACTATCCAATTGCCTATAATGGATGTCCAATAGGCATCTCAAACTATTTTGGCATGTCCAAAATAAAACTATCTATGCTTATTCCATAATCCTCTCTTCTTGATCTTCCCCCATTTCAGGAGGGGTGTCCCAGCATCAATCATTTGCTTGTTTAGGATGTGAGTGGGGAGGTGGTGTGGCAAAAATCTGTCATCCCTTCCGCCACCCTCTTTTTCCTAAAAATCCATCATCCTTGATTCATTTTCCTCATACTCCACATTCAATCCATCTGCACATTATGCTGGTTCAAATCTTCAAAATATATTCAGAATTGGAGAATTCTCACCACTTCTATCACTACCACTCTAGCCCAAAGAGTCAGAGTCTCTCTGATACCTCTGTCTTTTCCCTCCTACATTTGCACTATTCCATGGCTCCACCTCCAGCAGCCAGTGTGTCTTCAAAAATGTCAGCCCTGGCTAGTGTGGCTCAGTTGGTTGGAGTGTCGTCCCGTACACCAAAAGGTGGCAGGTTCAAATCTCCATCAGGGCGGATTCGGGAGGTAGCCAATTGATGTTTCTCTCCCACATCAATCTTTCTCTTTCTCTTCTTTCTTCTATTTGGAATCAATTCTTTAAAAAAGGCATTATTATGTCATCTCCTGCTCAGAATCCTCTAGTCATTTACTATCACACTCCAAACGCACCACAAAGTGTCTATCATGGCCTATAAGATCTCACATGATCTGGCCCTTGATACATGTGCATCTGTGTTTCTTACCATTCTGTCCTTCCTTCCCTCTCCTCCAGTTGTACTGGCTTCCCTGATGTTTTGTGAGGTCAAGCAAACTACCTGAGGTCGCATGATCTTTGCACTTGCTGTTTTCTCTCACTAAAACACTCTCCTCCAGATATGTGTCTCTGGATATTTCATTTAGAGCTCTGCTCCAACAGCAAATCCTCAACCAAGTCTTTTCTGGTCATTGACTCCCAATATGGCCACCATTCCTGTTCCTGACTTGACTCTTCTTCACTAACTAGCAGACACTGCACTAAATGTAAATACGCAGCTATGCATTTGGTTGTCTGTCTTTCCACTCAGAATGTAAGCACTAAGAAAACATGATTGATTTTATTCACTCCAGCATCTCCAGCGCCAGATACAATACCTGGCATTTGTTTAATGAACAAAAGAATCCATCCTAGTTTTAAATTCTCTACTCAAACTCAGAAAGATCCAAAAAAATATGAGTCTCAATTATGTGAGCGGCACTTAACCAGATGCTTTGAGCTTTAAAAGTACTATACCTAGCAGTCCCTGACCTGAAATGTAAACTTCTGGGTGAGTAGTGATTGGAAGAGGGCACAGGGGGCCCTCAGCGTGCCAGAACAGTTCTTTATGTGTAATTACAAACTTACTGAGCCATACACTTACAGATTTGTTCATTTTATTTTAAGCTGCACCCCAATAAGTCTTCAAGTTTCTGGCCTATCTAGATGCACCCACGGGCGCATGGTGGCAAGAGCAATGGTAGCAGTCTGCAGAGCCTGCCTGCCTGCCAGCTAAGCAGCGAGAAAGCCACCCTCCAAGTACTGAATGGCATACTCGTTAAAAGGAAGGGGAGGGGGGGGGGCTGTATCCTGTTCCCAGAGATCATGGACCTTCTTCAGTGCCCTGGGACCATCTTTCCCAATCTGGCCCCTGCTGCAGGAAGCTTCGTCTGCTGAGGAGCAGATCCCTGAACTGAGATGGAGCACATGGGAGCCGCCTCCCCGACCCACTCCCCAGGAGCCTGGGGCTAGAGAGGAAGGATGGAGCAGTCCTTAAGCTTCAGATTTTTCACCTCTGTGCCGAGGAGGTGGACACCGCATCCACGTGCGTTCCGAGGGGCATTCGTCCATATGGCCCACGGAATGTCACAAAGCCGGCGCACGCTGAGACCCGGTGCCCAGTGCGCATGCTCAGCACACAGCCGCGCTGCGCAGGCGCACTGCGGCCTGGCGCCGGGCCGCGCGCAGCGCCGGCACCCAGCGGGCGGGCGCGCTCCCGGGCTCCCAGGAAGCGAGGCGCGCGCCATGGAACAGCGGTTAGCCGAGTTCCGAGAGGCCCGGAGGCGGGCCGGGCTGGCGGCCGAACCCGGCACTTCCAGGCAGAGCGCACAAACCTCGGGAGAGAAGGCGGAAGCTATTGCCACTCCAGAGTCAGCCCTAGGCTGGCTCAAACGATTCCAGGTGTGGAAACGGAGGCCCGCGAGTGCCCCGGCCCAGCCCAGCCTCGCTCAGGTGAGAGGAGGGAGGCCTGGCCTGGGACGTGGCTTCTGGGCCATTGTCGTGGCTCCTCTGGAAACTCTGCCTGAGGCTCCGCCCCTTCCACCACGTGGTGGCTCTCAGGCCCCGCCCCCGTGAGGAGCCGGCTCTGGGTGGAGGAGCGGCCCCGCCCACACACCCTTGCCCCAGGCCACGCCTCCTCTGGGGGCGGGGCTTAAGGGGCCTCCCACCTGCTCTGGGGCTGGGCCTTGGTCTCTATCACCCCAGTGATTAGTGGATTTGACCTTTTCTTTCCTGCAGCTCCTCATTCCAGCTGGGAAGCGAAGGTCTAGGACAGCGATTTTCAACCTATTTCACCTCATGGCACACAATTACTAAAATTCTGTGTACATCAAAAAATGATGTTTTTGCCCATCTGACAAAAAAAAAAAAAAGTGTAATTTTGATTCATTCACAACAGATGGGCTGTTGTGTTGACTGTTGCCATTTTTTAAAATTTTGCAATCTTAACGGGAAAGAGGTCAGTGCCCCTAAGTAGTCAGGTGTTGCACTGAAAAAAGTTCTTGCCGTCCCCCGCCTCCCATCCTCCCTGTTGAAAATCGCTGCTCTGGGGTCCTGGAAGAAAGTCCTTGAGTTACTAACAACGAGTTTTCCAGAAACCTCTCCACAACCGTGTTGAGTCCCAGCCTTCTGCTAGTGGAAGGTGAAAGGTATAATCAAAAGTGGCAGTAATTAAGGCTTCGTATGATTTCGCCCCTGGACTACATACAGCTAGTAACCTACGTTTGAATATAAAGCTTGCAAAAATGTGGTTACTATAACTGCGCTGCTGAAGAACCAGACTAGCAAAAAGCTCAATACTGAATGCTGAAGGTGAAAACAGCATTTGGGTTAGTCTGATAGCATTCTCCCCTTTAATCCTTTCGGTAGCTCTTGTTTTGCAGATGAACTTATTCACATCTCTATCTTTCTTTAGTTTTCTCTCACGAATAAAGTGGCCAGGTGAGTTGCACATGAGATTGGAGTATCTAAGGGGGAATACCAGTACAGGACAAAACATCAAGGGAAAATCAGTGCTTTGAGACCATCTGTGACATGGCTGGCCTTTGTACCTCAGATGTATATTCAGAGCCAAAAATTCCTTTTGGAATTTAAAATGTTCTGGAGCAGAAGTGTACCTTACTCTCTTAATTTTTTGTTATATTAAGTTCATTTATTATTGCACAATATCTGGTTAGGTGTTTTTGTTTGTTTGTTTGTTTGTTTGTTTTGTCTTGTTTTCAATCTGGTTAGGTTTTTTTTCAATCCTTACCTGAGGATATTTTTCCATTGATTTTTAGAGAGTGAAAGAGAGAGGGAAAGACAGAAAAATATCGATGTGAGAGAAACACATTGATTGGTTGCCTTCTGCTTGAACCCCGACCAAGGCCTGAGCCGGGGAGGAGCCTGTAACCAAAGAATGCGCCCCTCACTGAAATTGAACCCAGGACCCTCAGTCTGCAGACCGATGCTTTATCCACTGGGCCAAACCGGCTAGGGCCACAGCATCTGGTTTTAGGGAATTTTTTTTAAAAAAAACATGAATTGTTCCTTAAGTTTGATATGTTCTTCCATGACAAGTAGGGTTCTAACGGACTTCCAGAAAAGGTGCTATAGGGTTCAAACATCCCATTTCCTTGTATGCAGTTTGTCTTGGGGTAACTTTATTGTCAATTAGGACTCCCTGAGCACAATTGCTTAAGATTTTTTAAAAATATATATTTTATTGATTTTTTTTTACAGAGAGAAAGGGAGAGAGATAGAGAGCTAGAAATGTCGATGAGAGAGAAACATCGACCAGCTGCCTCTTGCACACCCCCTACCGGGGATGTGCCCGCAACCAATGTACATGGCCTTGACCGGAATCGAACCTTCAGTCCGCAGACAGAAGCTCTACCACTGAGCCAAACCAGTTTCGGCACAATTGCTTAAGATTTTAGAATCCATTTCCCCTACCCATTTTTCTCCCGGCAGTTAAAAAACAATGTCTACTCCAATGTCTACTTCTGACTGTATGTCTCATTATCAAAGGAATATGAGATCATTGAGTTGGACCCAGAGAATCTGAACTTGGAGAAAGATTCTGCTGTTAGAAACCCAAAAGCAGAATGAGAGGAAATGCTGGATCTGCAGCTGGTTCTTATTAATCAAGCTGTTTCTATCCCAAGCTCATTTTCATGCATTCTCTTATCATTCCTGAGGGTGCTCTGGTGTGACAATTCTCATTAAATTTTCTTTCTCACTTATAATCCATCTCTGCCTAATGATTTTGGTGGCACACAGTGGCATGCCAGATATCTTGCCTTCTATTTGTAATTTTCTGTCGTCATTGATAAGGAAGCGCCCACATCCTCCTTTCCCCACTCTCAAATGTCTTTCTTTCTGTGACAAGCTTCTGCCACAATAAGGCAAAAATGCTTGTAACTTTTTTTTAATCCTGTGGAAACCCCCTGCCTCTCTCGCATACATATTCCCCACCAGCCACCGAGAATCTTGTCCCAGTATCTACTGCCCACACCTGGCTTGCAACTCCTTACCTCCAGCCCTTGGCTCAGGTTGGCCCACTGGCCAAACATGCTTTTTCTTTGAAGTCGCCTGGCTAAGAAGTGTTTGCATCAGCCCCTCCAATCCAGGAGTCACCTTTTGTTCCTTCCTTTCCCTCACTATCACTCAGCAAAATTCTATCCTGTGCCCACTGAGTTCCAGCTGCTGTCCTAAGTCTGGGGGGACGCTGTGAAAACAACACACAAAACGCTACTCTCACAGAACCAGCTTTGGGAGAGGAGACAATAAGAGAAGAGAATGGTGAAAGGGGAATCAGGAACGGCCACTGGCAGTGAATTGGGGTGAGGGGTGCAGAGTGCTGCTCTAAATTGGATAGGCAGGCAGGACCTCACCCAGGCGATGGCATTTCATGAGCCACTCTTGCAGAAACCTGGGGCCATGGCCAAGGCCACCTGTGACATTTTTGCTGAGGTTTATAGGAGCAAGGGAGCCAGCCAGGTGATGTGAGGGGACAGGGGCATTCGTCTCAGAGGGAGAAACTAGTACAAGTGCAGAGGCCCTGCAGGGGGAAGCAGCTTGGTATTTGGGGAATGGAAGTATCTCCCCTAAACCATGCCTATATGTGCTGTGAGACCACAAACCCTCCCACTTCCACACAACAGAAGGCGCCCTGGGACTGAAACCAACGCCCAGCAAGGCTGAGGACGTCCCCTATCCCTCCTCTCCTTGCTTTGTCCCTTGGCCAGCTCATTTACTACTTATCTTCCCCATCTTCTTCTAGCTCTTGACCCTCCCCTTTACCATCTCCCACAAAGGCTCCTAAGCAAGTAACGGCTGTGGAGGGAGACCATTCTCAGGTCCTAGACCAGCCTCATTCCTCCTATCACCAGCTGTGTGACTTGAGAGGAGTTACTTAACATCTCAGTGATCCCTTATCAGTAAATTGGGAATAACAGTGCCTGTCTGGATTACAGGAGATCAGGCATTTTGAAGGCACTCAATAAATAAATGATGGTGCAAGCATTATTTTTATACTCCCTCAATAATAAAATAAATCCAGTTTGCTATGAATTTCAGGTCATACACATTCAAAATGTATTCTGTATCCATCAGTCCACCATTTCTCTCTGACATCTGGGTCATCACCTTAATCTCTGCCTGGTCCTCTCTCACTGGGCCTTCTGCTACTAACAGTTTCTCTATTTCTACCCTCGAAGCCCATTCTCTACCTGGCAGCCAGAGCAGTCTGAACTATCAATTGATTGTATTAGCTCCCATTGAGATCTGCAGGGATTTCCCTATTGTGCACACTGACAAATCCAAAAAGGACCTTTATCTATTTAATAAATGTCTGTTGGGGTGGGGTGTTTGCTGATGTTATGTTAAGGGCCTTTACTGAAAAGGTAATTACAATATTGTTGCTAAAAAAAGAAGGCTCTAACAAAATAGAATTTCTGAATATAATAAATCAGATTATCTGTGTTCAATCCTCACCGAGGACATGTTCTTATTGATTTTGAGAGAGAGAGAGAGAGAGAGAGAGAGAGAGAGAGAGAGAGAGAGAGAGAGAGAGAAACTTTTCTTTTGGCTGCCTCTTGCATGTGCCCCCACCAGGACCAAACCCACAACTCAGGTATGTGCCTGCCAGTGCCTTTCATTGTACAGGATGATGCTCCAACCAACTGAGCCACCTGGCCAGGGCGACCTGTATACTTCATTGAAACCAAATATAGTTTGTGGTCCTTTTAAAATGAAATGAAGAAAGAAAAAAAAAAAGAACATCTTAAAAATAAAATGAAGTGATGTGAAGAAGAGGAGATATAACTGAAGAAATGAACTAAAAGTTCTTCTGTGGATTGAGAACCTAGGTGTGGAGACAACAAGGATGACAAATAGCAGTCTGTGTCTTCATGGTGACTCTGTAGGGATACAGGTGACCTATAGTAAAAGGGAGCAGCTTCAGCCCTGGCCAGGTGGCTCAGTAAGGTGGAGCGTCGTCTCCTACACCCGAAAGGTTACAGGTTTGATCCCCAATCAGGGCGAGTATGGGAAGCAAGCAGTTTATGTTTCTCTCCCACATCAATGTTTCTCTCTTTTTCCCTCTCTCTAAAATCAATAATTATATCCTCAGGTAAGGATAAGAAAAAAAGAGAGAGACACTTCAGTAAGTATTATTTTACCTCAGATTTGTTATTTTTTGAGACAATTTCTTTTTTAATAGACATCTGTATATTATTGTATTGTTTGTTCACCACCCCAAGTCAAGTCTCCTTTTATCACGTTACCCCACTCCCCTTTACTCTCTCCTCCCTCCCCACCCCCCCCCTTCCCTCAGGTAAATTACCATACTATTACCTGTGTCCATGAGTTCTTTTTCTTTGCTCATTCCCTTCACCTTTTCCACCCAGCCCCTGTCCATCCTCTGTATCTGTGAGTCTGTTTCTGTTTTGTTTGTGAGTTTAACTTACCAAAATAAATAAATAAAAGAGACACTAGCGGAATAGTTGGGTGCTCAGTGAGACAGAGCCAGTCAGCGCCCGGGAGGCTGGTGGAGAGACCAAGGCATGCACAGCGCACAGTCATGGCTGTCCGGAAGGAAGGCCAGGAGCCGGGGATGGAGAGGGACAGAGGCGATTCCAGGCCAGTTGGGCAATGGCCTCTGTAGTGAGACCAGTTGAACTGGAGTAGAGGGTTCATTTGTACAATTTCAGATTGTGCCGTGCAGGAACTTTCTTAGAGCATTTTTCAAATGGCAAGTCCTGACCCTTTAGTGAGTGGTGACATCAATTTAGAGAAATCTAGTCCTCTGTTAAAATAAAATAGAATAGAAAATGACAGCTTCATATGATGTGAAGATACTTGTTGATTTGTGAAACTTTTTAAAATTTCATACACATACACATACACAGACACAGACATATACATATACATATACATATACATATACATATACATATACACATGCATGCTAAGTCACAGTATAAAATGTGTCTTTTATTCTAGGTCACACCCAAAGAGGTTTGGAAAAAATACTGGAGTAGAGACCAGCTCCCTAAAACGGCCTAAGTCCACGTGTCTCCTGTTAGTGCCAGCACAGTGGCCTGTGTATTGGCATTTCTATCTGCTAAGTAAATGGAAGGCCTTGGACTGCAGCCCAAAGAGTTTAAATTTTAACCTCTAGGCAATAAAAATTTGTTGAAGGCTTGTGAACAGGAGGTTGATGGGTGTTTTAGGAGATTCATTTAGCAACTGTATGTACACAGGATGGCGTGGGGAGGGGAGCGATAGGAGGTGAGAGTCCACTTAGGAGGCACTGCCTGGGCCTAGGATGTGTGGGATGGTCACTGGATGGCAAGGTTGTAGCTGAAACAGCAATTTTTATTTTTTTAATATGTAGAAGGAGTTTTCTTTCCTGTTTCTGGTGTAGTCCTCATTTTAGAATCATGTCACTCAAAATTTTAGCTCATCTAATCAAATCAACGGACATCGATCCTGTGTGAAGCATACGCGTGGCTGTTGCATTACCAATTACTGGGGAGCTTCTGTGGGGGACACACATTAGCTCTCGTTAGCAGCAGACTCGTCTGAGGAAGTGCCCTCCCACAAAGGGAACCCATCTGAGTGCTGTAGGGTTTTCTTCGGGTCATCTCACTAAGTGCTGACCGGTTTTGGTCCAGTCAGAGTGGGGCACAAGAGCTCTCTGGGAGATGATTGTTTTAGAGAGCAGGGCAAGGAAATAGAAATTAATGAGCCAGAAGCCTTCCGGGAACAATGAGAGCTGCCTCTCCAGATTGGCTTTCATCCTCTCAGCCTCATTACCCTTTATTTCTACCTTTGCTTGTTTGTGTCCTAGGAAGCCGCTCAGCCTGGGAGCGGGACGCCACAGCCCCCACGGAGGACAGCCGTCCCCCCACCGTTGGCGCGGGACCAGTCCTTCCTGACCAGCATCACCTTCTTGAAGGTTCTCCTCTGGTTGATCCTGCTGGGACTGTTTGTGGAACTGGAATTCGGCCTGGCTTACTTTGTCCTGTCCTTGTTCTACTGGATGTACGTCGGGATGCGAGGTCCCGGGGAGAAGAAGGAGGGAGAGAAAAGCGCCTACTCTGTGTTCAACCCGGGCTGCGAAGCCATCGAGGGCACCCTGACTGCAGAGCAGCTAGAGCGCGAGTTACAGCTTAGACCCCTGCAGGGGAGATAGGAGCAGCTCTGCTGTCACCGGCTAGCCGCCTGCACGCCTTGGCCCTCCTAGCCCTTGGCCTTGGACTTGAGGGTTTGTTCAAGTGCCCCAGACTAAGGACAGCTTGCAGGTTAGTCCTGTGACGGCACAATTCGACCTGTTTTCCCTGATCTGCTGCAGTTTTTATTTTTGAACTTCTCTTTGGTTTGGGTGAAATTCCCTGAAAGATACTCACTGTGTATCTGATACAATGATAAAAATTACATACTGGAGAGGAGACCTGTTTTTGTCCTGATTCTGAGAGAGATGGTTCTAGAGCACTACAGAGGCACCGGGGAGCTGACTGTGAAAACAGCCAGCTGGTGGTTGTGATGGTCATGTCCATGGGACTGTACACTAAAAGTAAATGTTCTCTGTAAGTCATTTCATAGTTACAGCATTTTCTTTTCCCGGAAAGTTTAAGTTTAAGTTGAAGTTTTGTTTTTTCTTTCTGTTTTGCTTTGCTTTTTCAGTCATTAATAGTATTGCAAAATATTAATGACTATTTTATTAATATTTAGAGATAGACCCCATTCCCATCTCCATCCTCCACTCTCCTCATTGATCCTGCTCCGACTCAGTGAAGGAAGACGAGAGAAGACAAAGTCCTGGTGACATGTGGGGAGGGATTTCACCAAGTCAGTATGGGCAGATTTGATAAATAGTTCTTAATGATGAAGTCAGTCGGAAAAAATTCTCCAGTGTGTACAGAGGGAGCCCTGGAAGCGGAATCCAGACTCGCTGGCTGCGTGGTGGCTTCCTGTTTGGAGTGAGCAGTGCCTCTGCCCGTGGGCCTCTGGTGAGAAACTGTAAATAGTGGTAATAGGTTTGCTTTCAGTGTTCCTTCTCCTTCCGGTACAGAGTTAGAGTTTGGTTTCATTTCAATTGAGCAAAGAAAACCTTTAAAAACTTTTTAATGGATCATACTGAGGAGTAAGAGGACTGTAGTTTTAAAGCAATAGTGTTTTCCAAACTTAAGATTTTAAGCAATTAGTGATTCCTCAGCAGGTTTTCCACTTAAGAATTCAGTTATAAATTCTGATACTATGAAAGTAATTTTAATACCTAAGAGATGTTATTAAGTAATGGAGATCATACTATTTTTTCTTCGTTTTTGCATGATTTATTTATTTCAGCAAAATCTCAGCTCAATTTAAAGTTAGCTTTTGTTCACTGAATACAGGTGCTTGAGATATGATAATGAGAAAAGCACACATACCCCCAGTTCACCGAGCATACAGTCTGGACAGGAGTGGAGTGGTAGATAAAATAAAATAAGCGTTTCCAGTAATAGAGAGAGATAAGTTTTAGTAGTAGAAGGAGTACAGAGGAGATGTTCTCAGTTATCACATTTTGTAGCCAACTAAACCTGGGTGAAGTTTCAGCCATTTGCTGAAAACTCTGTTATGCATTGCTCCTCTCGCCAGCCCTTTGCTGATTGGTAGTTTGGCTGTCCCTCAAAGTCAACCCATTGAGCAGAAATCACTTTAGTTCATAAAGAAGTCTTTTCTCCCATGACTTCTGTCTGAAGAGGATCTGTAAAGAGTATGGGGAACAGAATCCCTAACAAACATGCAAGTTTTCATTATATTGAAGATGCATGATTTTGTCTTCTGATTTATTTTATTAAGACTTTCTTCATTTCCCTGATACTTTTAAAATGTATTTTTATTGATTTCAGAGAGGAAGGGAGAGGTAGGGAGGGATAGAAACATCAATGATGAGAGGAAACCATTGATTGGCTGCCTCCTGCATACCATGACTAGGGATTGAGCCCACAACCCAGCCAGGTGCCCTGACCAGGAATCGAATCACAACCTGCTGGTTCATAGGTTGACGTTCAACCTCTGAGCCATGCCAGCCAGGCATTTTCCTGATATTTTACTTGGGATTTTTCATTTTATAAAATCTAAATGAATGAAGAAATAGCTTTTTAAAAATAAGTGTTTATTGATTTTTAGAGAAAGAGAGAGGAGGGGAGAGGGAGAGAGAGAAACATTGATTGACACTCATCCAACCGAGCCACATGAACCCAGGATAGAAGAAATATCTTTGACCAATAAGCATTGTTTAGGAAATAATTAATTTGCATTTTAAGACTATAATTCTGACTTTCCCCTAAAACAAGGTGCCTGTAACTCTCAATTAGGAATTATTACAGAGGAGATGTCCTCAATTAGGAACTGTCAATTAGTAATTGGGTTCAATTGCTAGTCCCAGCAAAGTAGAGACTTCTCATAAGTATAGAAAAGAACAACATATGAATGGACCACTAGCGATCTTTGAAGTGTTGCTGTTTTTCTCCTGAGGCTGAGCCCAGGTTGCCTGAAGCCCCGCTTTCTTAGGGTTTTCTGGGAATTATTTGTCATCTCTCCTTGCTCATTTCTTCTCAAAGGTTACATAATGCCAGGATTAACTTCTAGGAAAAGTGGGGTGTGAACCAATTAAATGCTTGGCGGGGAAGAGAGGCAGGGACTATATGTATTGCCATTCTGATCAGACCATTAAGCTTTAGGTGCGATCTGATTTCCGGAATTTAGAAAGGCCTGTTCTCTCAGAATGTCCACGCAGGGCCTGACCGTTAGCCTAGCAAGCAGCCTCCTTCCAAAGGCTTGTCTGTCATCAGGAAATGCGAACCTCAGAGCTGCGTGTACTCCCCGCGAGAGCTGTGTGCGGGGGTGAAGTCGTTTCTGTCCGAATCTTACAAGTAAATTGGCTTTTGCTCGTCTTTACATGGTCCCATCTTGCCTATTCACAGGAGCAATTAAATGAGCTTCTGTTTGGAGGGCTGGAAGAGACCCCAAAATGCCTCTGATGTCCCCTAGCATTGAGCAGGGCTGCATTTATTCCTTGAATAAAATCTGCCCTCCTAGTGATTCCTGAAGAAAAAAAATCCAGACACAAAACTCAGTCTCTTCCAGGCAGTTCTTTACCCAAAGAATTTGAGCCGCCCCCGTAATCGCCACCCCAGGGTATCCTCATTCTAATCTCAGTGGATGCTGAGGATCCTCCAGACTGTGAGCCATCTCTCTCAGTCCCCTCCGTTCTTCAGGCTCAGCCATCCCAGTCCTGCCTCTGGGACAAGCACTTTGCACTGAGGGCTCCAGGTCTGGGTGGGATGAAGGATGGTTCTGAAAAAGCTTGAGTTTTACCAGTGATGGCTTAGGCATTTCTATTTTGTGCTGTGAGGATTGTGCTTTGAGGCTGGGTGATCTGCACATTAAGAGTAAGCTCACAAGCTGTACAAAAAGAAGAAGGAAGTTACACAGTTGGTAGAGCCAGTGATCCTCGGTTGGACAGAAGAAAGTAAAAGTCTAACTGTGTTTTTGTTTCCTGCCACTCACCCTGTTAACCGTTTACCAGCAAGTCTCTGTAGGCTCCCTGGGCTTGCTGCTGAGACACTTAATGAGCCTCTGCTGTTGAGTCCACTGTGAGAGCCGGGATGCGGGTGGGGCTGGGATGCTTGGAGCCTCCTGCCACCAGGGGGTTGCAGAGAGCTGCCGCTGTGCCTCGTGGGTTCTTGCCATCACACTTAAACATTCTTGGCTTTTGCTCTTCACTCTGCTGCTTCTTCAAATGGTCTTTTCTCTTTAAGATTCTCAAAGGAAAGGGCTCATCAGAGGTCCTGGGGAAGGCACAGAAAACCACCAGAGTGAATGATACACACATTTTAAAGTAAAACAACAGCCCCTCTAGATGTAGCAGTCGAGGGGGTTAGCCCTGTGCTTGTCCATATCTGAGCTCTCTGGGGGGGAAAAGGCTAGGAACTTACACAGCCGCCAGAGAAACTTGATCCCTAAGCCAAGAAAGTAGCGTTTGAACTGTATGCTTTGGTTTCTGTCACACACTTTTATTTCACAACAGTGGAGCACTGGGTTAGATGAAGACTTGAATCTCACTCTCCAAAAGCTGAGTGAAGGCAAGGTCAGTGCACAGAGGATCGCACTGTAAGGCATGTAACGCATGTAACATGGTATGGGTGTTTAAAAAATATATGGTGTGTGGGGGGGCAGTCATCAGATCTCAAGTCTATACTACCCAGGATTGTCACTTTTATATATATATATACATATATATATAAACGGAGTTCCCTTAAGTGATGGATGAATGCTTTGCAAAGCGTGGACTAAGCGCACTTACATGGGAATCTCCTTTGGTAGGGTTAAAATGCAGATTTCAGGGCCAGACCCACTGACTGTCTTACTAAAGGTTTAAAGCCACTGACATAAATCATAAATGTTAACTAGGAAGTAAACAGCATATATTTGATCCGAGCCAAGAAAGATGGCTGCGTATTTTATTTTATTATTTTTTTATAAATATGTTTTTATTGATTTCAGAAGGGAAGGGAATGGGATAGAGAGAAGAGATATTAATGATGAGAAACATAGATGGGCTGCCTCCTGCACACTCCCTACTGGAGATGGAGCCCACAACCCGGGCATGTACCCTGACCTGACTGAGAATCGAACCATAACCTCCTAATTCATGGATCGAGACTCAACTACTGGGCTACACCAGCCAGGCTGGATGTGTATTTTAAATGGAGGTAACAAAGTTTTCTATTTTTCAAACTGTTCATTCAGAACATTATAGCTATTATACATAAATGGCTTTAAAACGATGAGGAACTCACTCCGAAGGCTGTATGGCTATTAAAGGTGCTTTATTTTTGAAGTTTTTTTTTTAAAATATAATTACAAAAAGGAAACACATGGTTATTTTAGAATACCTTGGAATTATGAAAAGGAATAAAGTATTTTAATTTTGTATTTATGTGCATATATTTGAGAATTCAAAAAGTTCATAACAAGGATGAAGCTCCTTCCCTACTACCATGCAAGCCCACAAATGATAACCTACTCCATACACTCTTCTGCCCTTTGCTTTCTATTTTCTTCATTACGTTTTGGGTCGATTTCCATGCATGAAGTTTTTATGAGAGAGTGACATGATCCAGTTTTCATGGTTAAAAAGCCACC